ATGCACTAAATTTTGTTACTTCTGAAAAGTCACCATTATGCAAAAAAAACTCTTTAGTTTTCGTTGTACTTTTACACTAGTAGACGTAGTTTATAGCATTTGTAACATTCATTATTCTGAATCTCTGCTCTACAAGGCTGACTTACATCTATTACCTACAAGCATCCCTGCGAAGGCAACAATCAAGGTAGATCTTAGTCAGTTATATGTAACATTATTATCTAAGGATGATGATAATGGAAAAGTTATTTTGTATTGTTGGGATTCATATTGGCCTTAATTTGAGGGAATCTAATTACTGATGTTTTACTGCTCGACTATTTGCCGATGAATTCGACTGATTACGTACGAGATGAAATTATTTACGTACAGGGCTGTCAAATAACCCCTTCATTTTCAAATCTTCTTCATGGCCTCGAAAAACTAGCTTTAACTTAGTTCAGCAAGATTGCGGTATGACTTGTCGGTGAAAAACGTTTGCGGAATTATTTTAGGATAAGATCAAATGATAACTGATAATGTGGTTTTTTGTTCAAATCACGGATTCGCTAAGGTTTAAAGGCAGTCAAAGATGCTTACGGGGCTAGTGCAATGGTCAAGAACATTAATGTGGAAACGTTAGTTGAAGATTGCCCTTTATTTCAAACAAGATTTGGAATCAAAAGAGATGCTAACAATCAAACAGTGATCACAATAGTTTGAGGCAACATTTATAAGATAAAAATGTGATCACTGTTTGATTACTAAAATCTTTTTATTTTTCGAATTTCCTGAACCTTGATGATTCGTCTCAAACTGTCGCGGCAATAGATCCTATGCAATTACGTTAAGACTATGATGCAAATCCGTAGTAGTTTTAGCACTGTCGCTAAGTACTAGCCGTAACCACTACCCAACTTCATGTTATTGATGTCGTATTGGGCTCAGCCCTATTGATACTCTAACAGAAACATCCCATTGTCATTAGCTTTGGAGCAACACCAATACAGTACGGCCCATCGTATCCGCAAAAAAACTGACTCTACATGGAAATCAGTTCAGAAGGACTAATCCGTAGCGTCACACTGTCGTAGGATGTTTTTCAAAAGAGAAAGGCGGCATTGAACTCAGCCCGTTGAGACGAATCTTCTGGTATTCGTACTGCAGGAGCATGCAGGGTGTACACTGGGCACACGGTAGTCAACATCGCGAATTCGTCTGGAACTTTGCATAGAGTGGTCTCAGGTATGCTGACCACGAACAAACTATCCATTTGTCATGACGGTGCCTTACTGTAAGGCCGCGATAGCTATACGATGGGATCCAAATGCTCGCCTACTGTGGTTATGCGATACTGATCACGGGAAAAACAATTCTTCAACATGGTATCGCTTTGATGTAGAGATTTTGTAAAATCATCCTCTCACAAAATTCATTATAAGTAACGTTGAAATCCTTTACTCCTATCTTTGAGCCATCGTAGAGAAAATTACAACCTCTTCTTACCGATCAATTGACTTCTTTCAAGGATTCTTAGCTGAATTACAAGGCAGTGTTCCAATGAGGTTCTTCTCTGAACCTTTGCGGCTTATACTTTGCTGATACAAGTTTCCTGAATAGCAGATTAAGGCTCCTTCCGCAGATACCTACAGACACACGTCCTGTTACACCGTGCACCTGTTGTATCTCCACAATAAGGAGCTACC